TGTTGACTGCCTCTAATGACCTTCTTATATTCTGAAATCTTTTATACAGCCAAAGCTTCAGGAGCATGTAGGAAATTAAGCGTCTTACAAGCATACCAGTTGGCTGGGTTTTTTTGAAGTTGTAAGTAGGTTGATAAATCTCAAAAAAAAAAAAAAAGCGCTTGTGTTCTATTTAGTTATCTATCTTTAGTACTGATATTCAAAGTTAAGAATCTTCTGTTGCTCTATTTCATTGAGACTTGAAGCCATGACATGATGGTTTTTATGATCTTTAAATTGCAAGGATAGTCTTCAAATGTATGGAGGGAGGGTTAGGCTTCCACCTCCCATGGCAAGTCATCAGGAATTTGGTGCCCTTTGGGATCTCCCCTGCAGTGCTTTTGACATTTTGCAGTGACACTTCCATAGCAGCAGGTAGATGGAACTTACATGAAAAAAAAAATCAGTCTGGATTTGGGAGGATTGGGCTCTTTGTAGTCAAATGAGTGTTCAGGTTTATCTGACTGAGATTAAAGACCAGAGTGCCAGATGTAAGATGTGTATAGGCTCTGCTGCTAACAAAAAAGTGAGTGGAAACCCTCCTAAATTTCAGTGGGTATTGATCAGATAATTTGTGAAGTGATCCTTGGTATTTAAAGTCCTAGAAGAAACCTTTGTCACTGTTAATGAAAAGTCAGATATGTTTTTGTGCTGTATTTATTTACTGATAAGGCAGTTTGTCTGGCCCAGTGTGTCTCTGAAGTGTTCATTCAGCATCTTGGTACAGGGAAGGCTGGTAGCTTGGCTTCTTGTGTTGTTAATAAGGCACTGCTACACAGTTCCTGAAGAGAGGGAGAGTCCAGCTGATGAACCAGCTGTTGAATCTGAGTAAATTATTGCAGACCACCTTGTAGCAGCTGATGTCAACAACTGCTAAATCTAATAGAAATGTGCTTAAACAGGGAACAGAATAAACTGGACATTTCCTGCAGTTGTTGGAACTGTCCGGTTGTGTGTTATTCCTCAAAACCAGACTTCACAACTTCTGATTCAGCTTGCAAAGCAAAGTTAATTTTATGGAAAACTCTCTTAATAATAGAAACAGAATTCTTGTAAGTTGAGCTGCGACCAGGTAATGTGACTGGATCTAGACTGGTCATTTTTTATTTCCCAGGCATTTAAAAAATGCTTCAAAGAAACCACCTTCAGAAACATTTAGTGCAGGTCTAACACACTGTGCTCAAGTCAGGGGGTCCTACAGCTCTGTGGGAGCAGCATTAGGTTAATGTTGAAGAACTCTGACAACTCAGTACTTGAGTATCTTTTTCCAAGTACTTACCTGTGGAATTCCTGTGGTATACACCTGCACAAGCAGTTAAATGTGGGTTTAATACTGTTGCAGTGTTTATAATACTCTGATAAAGATTTCTCCTGTAGCTGGTGTGATAGTAAGAGGTGGAGCTCACTCCTTGTTTTCAGACTCTTACTGGATTAATCTAGTCGGGGCTGTGGAGATGTAGTCAAGGTCTTCCTTGTCTGGGTGGTGCTTTTGGGTGGGCTTCACCCCAGGACAAGCATACTAGAAATCTTATTGAGAGTTCCTACTGTCTGGCTTTGTTTACAGATTGTCTTTTAACATTGTTGAAGACTTGTGTTTTTTTCTCCCGTATTCTTCTATGGTGTCTGTTCTGGATTTGCTTTAGACTTAATTTTTATTTTTTTTTTAATTTTGGCTTTGGCTGTAAGTGATCACAGTAACAAAACTTACTTGGATGTCCCAAGTGGAACTTTGGTTTTGAACTTTGGGTCAGGGCGATGGGCTGCTCTGCTCCCTACATCTTTCTTGTGGTGGTCTTGAAAGGTGCAATTCCAGAGACTGTTCTCCAAGAACTATTTTTCACTTTACTACTATTTCTGTGCTTTTTTTTTTAATCACTTTCTTATTGCCATATCCTGCCTGAGACCATGACATGATTTTCAGGTCCTAAGCGGACTCTTGCACTAGGGCTGTTCAACTCAGTTACTACTCTGGCTTTGGTAATTTATTTGTGTCAGTGGTCAAGACACAAAGCTTGTGGGGTGAGAAGTGGGGAGGAACTGTGTCCTGTGAGGTGCAATGTGGTTTGTATTGACACTTATCTGGGAACTTCTTTATAACTGTACTTCTGGCTCTGGTACCCATGAGTAGTAGGGTTGTTCTGAGCTTAAGGCATAAAAACCCTATATGGAGGTCTCCCCCTTCAAGCTATCTCTTCTGTCCTGTTGTTTCTCACTTTTGATTGATCATCTGATTGTCTGCTTCTGTCTTATAAAAGGTAATTCTTCTGTAGTTCAGATGTTACTTTTCTGACCTGCAGATTCTTAGAGTGTTGTGTTTTCTCATGCAGCGTTTATATGATTAATGTTTGCCCCTGCAGTCACGTTGGTACAAAGTGTCAGTGAAGTATTTCGACTTAAAGAACAATCTATGTTGACAAAGCAGCAGTTTTGCTGGTTTGGTAAAATACAGCCCAAGTTTTCCAATAAAACTGTGTTATGTTTCTATGTCAGAGGTAACGTTTCTAAGAATCGCGCTTAAGATGGGAGAAGTCCATAGGGTAGGTTGAAGTGGCAACAGAAATTGTAGCTGTTACCAAAGATAGGAGTATTAATACTTGTATGTTGAGCAGCGGTTGTTTTGGTTTGGTTTCTTTTCTCCTGGACTCCTGACTGAAACAACCTCAACTTGTAATTTTGTAGGTACTGTAGGTGTGACTGTTCTACTCTGATGGATTTTTAAAACCTTTCACTTCTCTCTAGCTTCATTACTCTGGCTACTCAAGGTTCTAGTCCTCACACTGAGAAAACTTTGTAACTGGCCGTGGTGGATAGCATCTGCCATTTTTGGCTTAATGCTTTTGCCAGTGTTGGTGTATTTGGATTGTATCCAGGAGGAAAACTGCTTTTGGTGGTCTTTGGTGGTCTTTTGCAATAGTTCATATTTTGAAGAGCTAATACAGAACACCTAGTTTCTCAAGTCAGCTGAAAACTCAGAAGTTATGCAGAAGATTAGTAAAAGTAGTTTTCCATTGCCACCAATACTTTCATGCTAAAACTGTTCTTTTTTGTTTGTGTTTTCATAGAAACTGTGTGAGGGAATTCTAAACATCCTTGAAAAGGACACAAAAACTTCATGTCAAGTTGCGTGCCTGGAGACCCTCCGGATTCTCTCCAGGGACAAGAAGGTTTTAGTGCCTGTAACCACAAAGAGGAACATGCAGATCCTTATGAAGCTAGCAAAGCTGGACACTGTGGAAGATCCTTTGGAGAGAGTGTCTGAATTTCCTGTTATAGTAGAAGCTTTAAAATGCCTCTGTAACATAATTTTTAATAGTGCTGTTGCACAGAAGCTCAGTTTGGAACTGAATCTTGCAGCTATGCTCTGCAATCTCCTGGAAAAATGCAAGGACCAACAGTTCGTTGGTGACATTAAATGCTTTGATTTGCGTCTCCTCTTCCTCTTGTCACTTCTACACACAGATATTAGATCACAGTTGCGTCAGGAACTACAAGGGGTGCAAGTTTTGACTCAGGCTTTGGAAAGTTCCCTGAGTGTAAGATGGACGGAAGAATATAAAACAGTGGAAGACAATGACAGGCCTCCTCTGTCTTTGCAAGAGACAGATTGTGCCATTGAGGCACTAAAGGCTCTTTTTAATGTAACACTTGACAGTTGGAATGTCCACAGCGAGGTAAGGCTTATCTGAAGTGTTCTTGTGTTCCAATTGGTTTTGTTTAGCCTGCAAGAGCCAGAACCAGCAGGTAGATACACAAGAGGCAGTTGTTGTCCAAGCCCCAGAGCAAGCATTTTGATATTTAACTTTTGCTGTTGTAATTCTGATGGAATATGATTGCATTTTTCAAGATAGCAGTTAAGGTAGTCTTGAAATTTTACATCATAATTTCTCTATATGCAAAATCAGTCTGAGAAAATTTGTCTGGATTCTAAGTGTGTCATGTGTTGATGATCTTGGGCTTTCGAGAGGTGTTGAGTCTTTAATGCTCATTGCTTTGAATACCAAAATAACTTTTTTGTTCTTGTTACTACTTGGGCAGAGAATCTAATCCATACATTTTCTGTGTAATGAGAGAATATCTTGGGTTATATAATGCAAGTTAGAGCTGTATGTTTTCAAATAAAAGAATGCAAAGAAGACTATTTCATAAGAGTCTTAGATTTCCAAAAGAAAAATGCTGTTCACTAATAATTAGCTGGCTAGGAAGAACTTTTTAATGTAAGTGTATCAGATGGCTACATCCCTGGAGATAGGGGACTATGGCAGCAGGGTGATAATTAGAGCTGGGAAGTCTCCCTGGTTTTCTTCTGTTTTTCTGGGCATGGTGATAAGCACATCAACTCTGATTTTTAACAAATTAGTCTGAAGAAAGAGTTTTTAATGTCTTTGTCTCCCATCCTCCCAACACCAGGTTTGGACTTAAGTGTGATCTTTTAAGATGAGGTCAAGTAGGAGAACCAAAAGCATGTTCATTGTTATGAATAAGATTTGTTTTGTTTTTTTCATTATAACATCAGATCTATTTTTTTTCTTAGACAAATATGCTTCCTGTGTGTTGCATCGCTAAATTTATAAACAGAAACAATAGCTTTTTTTGTTGAATAATGTCTGTGCTACAGTAGTGGAAATCATATAGGGAATCTTTCTTTTTAGTCCACATCATGTTGTCTCTAAAACAGTGTTGTTAACTTTTCACTGGGCATCGTTAATACGCAGCATATAAAGCTAAGCAGAAGTTTACAGTAGTTAAAATTGACTAATAATTTTCTCTTCAGTGCATTGAACTAAACAGCAAATATGACATTAACCATCACATTAAGGAATGTTAAACTTGAGAAAAGTCTGAAGCTTATTCTTTACTTTAGTGTCTCAAGGATACGCTGAACAAGAAATCTTGAAGTTTAAGATGGGGGGGTGATCAGAGACACTAATACTTCATATTTCAAGGAAATATAAAGAAAGTGAGGAAATTTTCTCTTGTTTATATTCCTTAGACCTTTATTAAAAATATCTTTGACTTTGTCAGAGAAAGTTCTTGCTATAGGTAACTGATTGTTTTGGAGGTAGAAACTTCAGTGGAGAAAAATTACCCAAAGTCAAGCACGTAACACAGCTATATGAATGTTTCCCATTTCAGAGTTTGAGGGGTATAATATTTGTGATTAACTTTTTCTGTGAGGAGGAAATAACGTCAGATATTAAGCTGGAAAATTAAGCTTTATTACATGTTCACCTCTTAAGGAGTAAGCTCTTGAAATTTGGATCTTGAAGTGGGTATACTCTTACAAAATACTGAGAATCTTGAGAGCTGAGAAGCCCAGTTTACTGCAGAAAGGTGGGCAGGAGGTGACACCCAGTTGTGGCTTTACTTGACGAGGTTTTGTGTGGCCCCTGTCTGTGAAATGAGGGAGATTTTATCCTACAAAACTTTTACTCCTTAAAGAGCACAAGCATGCAGCACTCAGGAAAATTTCCTTCAGATTGGAGGAAATTCTGGTGCTAGTAACTTCCCCCCCCCCCCCCCTTTATGGTGAGGGGTTTTTTGTGAGGGGGGGTGGGGTTTAACCCCCCCCCCCCCCCCCAATTTGGATGAGAGTTTCATGCTAGGGTGGGAGAAGCTTATTTTGTGTTTTGAGATAAAGCTTACATAATAACTCTTTACTGGAAGTTTCTAAAAGCAAGGAACCTTTAACTTAAAGAGCTATTTAGTAGTTGTAAACCATTAGCCAGATAAGTTAGGTGACATTCTGCTTAGCAAGTGTCCCTGTGGAAGCATTAATGATCTGTAAGAACAGTAAACAGCATGTTAATTAAGTGGGCTGAAGATGCAGAATTTGAAGAGATGGCAAACAGTAGATGGGATAGAAAATAAAAGGAGAGCAGAGAGGTTAAGCATGTGGGCAGAAAGCTAAATGAGATCCATCGTAAGGGGGAGAGGTCCATTTGAAACACCAGTATTTAATGACAGGAGATGGTTTCAAAGTAGCAAAGCCAGACAAGAGCTGCAGGTGGTACAGTTGGCAGATCTGGACGCTGATGTTACAAAAGATGCGTCGGGGTGCTTTGTGCTAGGTCAAACACACCAGAACATTTGATGGATGCCAAGAAGAGCTAATGAAAAAGGACCAGAGCAACGATACACACAGTGAAATGATTACAGTTACTGGTGTACTTTTGTGTGGCTGCCGTCTGGTGGGAGATTGAAAAGGGGAATTGCTTGGAGAGAGCAAAAGTAGGGCAAATAAGGTTGCTCAGAGTAGAGAAGTTATTAACGAAATGGAGAAGAGGTATCAAGGGAACAGAAGCAAGTGAATTAGAAACAGACTGGGTTGGGGAATGAAACTGTTGGCAGCAAAAGGTCTAAGTGAGGAGGAGGCAAATTAAATGAAGAACATATGTAATCTAAATAGATGAAGAGGCGGCCGGGTGTAAACACAGGAAGGAAGATAGTAGAGGTATATTTGGAATAGTGGTATGGAATTGAGCAAATGCTTGTAATGGGGTTTCTTGGTAGTGAAGGCTCATTTAACTGGAAAAAATCCCCAGCGACTTTTACAAAGCCTTGTTAGAAGCCCAGCATGTGACACTTATGTTGCATTAAGCATTCAGTGAATTCTAAGGTACAGTCCTTTTATTGATAGGGATGGATGCTATTATCTAATCAGGTATTTTCCATCTTTAATTTTTATTATTCTAGTGACCTGAAACCCCCACTTGCAATCCTCAAAATGAAAAAATATCTTCATAATTTATATTTATATAGAATGAATCTCATCAATTTCGTTACATGGCTGCCATCCTTCGACACTGCTTATTAACCACGGGTCCTACTGAAGACAAAACTGAAGAGTTGCACAGGTTAGTAGCATTGCAGAACCAATCCATTTTAAAAGGTTATTTATTTTTTAAGAAAAAGAAAAAAATACTTTGCCTAAAATCTAAAGTGGAAAGATGAGAAACAATGAAAACTATTAATTTTGAGTAAAATATTAATCTTCTTGATAAAAGCTGTTTGCCTGAAATATTGTTTAAGCATGTCCAGTGTTCCAGAGAGAAAGTGGCTGGCAAGATTGTTATTTTTGATCACTAATAATGAAACTGATCTTTTTGAAATCTTTTTTTGTGTGTGTGTGTGTAACTGGGGATGAAAATACATATGGAAAGTTCTAGGGGCAGTGCAAACTGAAGTGGAATGCAACTTCTGTTGTTTTGTACAGAAGCTGATGGCAAAACTGCATTTTGAGATTTTTTTTTTAATATATAACTTTTGCAGTTCTGCTGGATTGGGATGGAAGTAACAAGTTGATGTTTTATCTCCAATAGTTTTAAGCTGCTTTATTAAAAGTACAAATATCAGTTCCATGGTAATAATCTTTACTTTTTTCAAAGATGAGTTGATCTTGCAGTTTTAGGCACATTGTTATTTTTTTTCCTTAGTCCTGCAACCGTTTGTTGTGTATTTGCAGCCAATAATTCAATCAAAATTTGAAGTATTTTTAATGAGGTGGTGGTTCTCTGTTCAGTGTCATTTTTTTTTTTCTGTGACACCCTTATTTTTATCCAAGCAAGTCAGCTGTTCACAGCCTGACAGTACAGTAGCTTCAAATGCTATTCCATGTTATCTCTAAGCAAGGAAAGTTAGTGTTGCTATTTTCTTCTTCGGAGATGTCCGTATATCCAAGTGTAGGATCTTTTGAATATCTTCTTCTGAACCAGCAGTCTGCAGGAAGAGAGATACAGCTTTTCACACCCAGCAATCTTTAAAGTGTTAAATGAACTTGATTAAAATCTTGGAAAGCTCTTAGAGATGAACAGTCTTAGTAGGTAAAAGCTAAAATCCTACATCAGAGCTCTTCTCAGTTGATGCGGACTAGTTTGGAATAACTGAGGATACTGCTGCAGTAGTTGCCATGACTAAAGTTAGTGCTGAGTGTGTCCTGAATGTTTTCTCTGCTGCTGTTGGTTATGTTAGGTGTTTTATGCTCTCTTCCTTCTTTAAGGGAGGGACTAGTGGGAATAAGTTCCCCACTACTGGGAAAATTGAGCAGATTTGGATAAATTCAACAACTACGAGAAGGCAGAGATCAGCCTTTAGCATTTAAGCTTGTACATAGTCAGCAAGACTGCCTGATATTCTGGTGAATTATTATACAGCAGATGCTCTTCCCATGAAAACATGTTCTGCTTCCTTGTCCAGGAGTCTGACTAGTCTAATCACCCTGTAAAGTCTACCACCCTGTAAAATATATCACTCTGTAAAATTTAATTCTCTTGTGCTATTGCAAAAGGATGCATGTTATTCAGGTCCTTTTGGTTTTAGCTTTTGTGAACACTTGCACATGAGATCCAAAAAGGGCTTTACATACACAAGTAGGCAGCTGTGGAGAATATGTAGTATTGGTGTGATTTCTGTCCTTGCTGTTTTCAGTCAGAAAGGATGTTTTGTGTAGAGATGCTGCCCACGTGGACCTTACAGAGACACCACATCAAGGCAAGGATTCTCCATAATTCTGAGAGGGGAAAGCAGAAAAGAAATGAGGATGGTTATCACTGCCTTGTGTCACTTCCGTTGTTTCCCCTTTTCCATCAGGCGCAATATAACATCAGTCTTTCTGTTATGCTGGGAAAACAGCTTTTTCCATCTGTTAGCAAACAGCAGCTAGTTTGTTTAGCTCAAGCTGATAGAAGAAAGAGTGCAAGTATAGCATTGCTGCATGTACCATTCAATCCTGATTTATGTCATCTCGGGAAGGGGTTTAACATGCTAGAAGAGCACTGCACAGGTTTTGACTTTTGTGATTCAAATATTTCAGCCTGTTTGCAGAACCTAGTTTTGTCTTTGAGTGCTACAGGATGCAATAAAAGCTAAATAATTTAATAAGCTTTTCCACCAAGACTATTCATCAGAAGGCAGTTCTGGCATAGACAAGACACAGTCAGAAGTAGTGTCCCTGCAAATCCTCAGAGGGATCAAGGGGCTGCATCAGAGGGCCCCACTTCAGCCCCCTGATGTATTTGGTCAAGCAAAACTTTCGTTCTGATAGGATCTTCAATAGCAAATGAATAAACTTGTGTTAGCAGTCTACAGCTAACATAGCATAGCTAAAAAATGAGGCTGTGTCATTGTTTGGGCTGTTCAGTATGCTGGACTCTGACTGTGCAATCTTTATTGCTAGAGATGAGGGGTGAGTCAGAGAGCAGTGCAACTTCTCGCTCTGCTTTCCACCTGGAGCCTGTCAATAAGGCAATTATGAAAATAATGCTAAAAGTGGGATAAAGTATAATTAGTGTTGAATAAGAATAAACTTTATGAAGCGTCAAGGAGGCATAAGTATGTTTCTTAGATTGCTAATCACTTGCATGTCTCTAAGTTTGTAAATCTGTAGAATGCAAGATGCTTAAATGAAAGGTTCGTGCAGCCTGCTAAAGCACATTTTATGAAATGCTTGTGCTGTGAATGTGTAAGTTGAGGATTTATTTTATGTAAGCATCAGGTGTTGGATACATGCCCTGAACTGTGATGTACTGATTGTCAGTGTGACTCAATTTCTAATAAATAAGCAGAAGTTACCTATAAAAATATCTTAACTAAATTTAGTACCTGGTATTGTTGTCATTATTGTGGTTCTGTCATGTCATTACTTAACATTTGAATATGAACAGCTTAAAGCACCACATATTAGAGTGAGTGCCATTTTTGCCCACTAACAAGGTTTTAATCAAGGCATTCAGCAGCTCTAAATAGGCCTTTGCTTCTGAATTTGCATATCAGGAGGGGGCTGGGAGCATGAGTGGGTGGATGTCATGTCCCAGTGATTAATGATCTCTAGGAAGCCGAAAAGGGGAGAGTAATATACGCAGTATTTCTACCCCCTGGAGTAGGAATGCAAACACTATTGTGCAGATCTGTGCATAGTCACTGACTTCCTGGTAGCTGGAGAATTTCATACACTCCTCTACCACAAATAAAACTGTCAGTGGAGTGACAAAGATCAGAAAGCTGGGCTTCATTTATTGAAAAGAATAGCTCAGACACAGTGATCCAGAAAATTAATTTTGTAGGTGTTTGGGAACTTGGTTGTTTAATAAGAAACTGGTAAAAAGAGAACTTTCGATGAAAGGCTTGAAGTCACCAAATATTTGTTGAATTTCAGTCTGTTTTGTTTCTGACTATTCCTGAATTATTGGAGAGGAATAACTTCCATGATATAAAAGACGTATCTTAAACAGGAATTAGAAACTTTCCAAAAAGTAGGAGTTGTCTGAATTTCAGTTGCTAAAAGAGCAAAAGGCAGATGGCACAATGAGGAACAGTCACCCAGTCTGATCAGACCAAAACCAGCACATTTGTTAGAAATCCTGTTATGTTTGATTGCCATGACTTGCTTTTTTCTTTTACTAATTCTTTGTTAGAATTGTATTAATAACATAAAAACTGAGGGAAGCTTCCAAGTAGATGTTATCAAAAGTGTTAAATGAAGTTGTTTGGAAAGGTTTCTCTATTCTCGGAACACTTCGCTGACCCTTGAAACATCAGTACTCATAGTTTCATTAATAGCTTTGACATCTGCATATGTAAGCGTAAATAATTCTGTAGTATTTCTAAATATATCCATTTATAAGTTTAGTTGGGCAGCAGCAAATAAATAATAACAGAATTCTAATTTTTGCAGTAGCTGTGTAATTTAGCCCCGTATTCAGGAAGAGTACGAACGTGAGTCTGTATAATGAGAACAGGATAGATAGCAAACTTGGGATGTGTGCCATGCAAAAGAGACCCTTGCGGAGTAAGTTCCATCTTACTCCATTAAAGAGGCAGGGGCCCTGTGATCTACTTTAATTCACTGAATGGATATTTCAGAAGCTCTCCTCTTTGTGCTTTGTAGACTGCAAAGGTAGTGCTTGGTAAATAAAGCTGAATCTTTTTCTAATGCGTTAAAAGCCTTCTGCATTTCCTATACACTACTAGCTAAGTAAAAGTGAAAATATTTCAGGGGACCTGAGAAATTGCCACCATGCCCCACTGTTATAGGAGGAGGAAATGTTTTCTGTGGTGTACTTACCACATTAGCGATGGTAATATGATGTGTTCTAAAATGTTTCACGTTTCAAGGAGGAAAAAAACTATTGACTGCTGCAAATCAATGTGAGAGTTCCCCCTGCTGTCCTGCAAGATCAGCTGCTGTAACACACTGCTGAAAGCTGTGCCTTATCTATGGGACAGGATACCATAGGGGCTGGAAGTAATAATGCCCTGCTGCAGTATAGCTTTTGGAGCTTTTGTCTTTCTTTTTCCTTGCTTGTTCCAAGAGCCAGCATTCAGACGATAATGCATGCCACCTTCTTGAAAGCCCAGGGAGTAGAAAATAAAGCATTGTTTGAGTTGCAGGGCCTCTTTTTGGTTGCAGTTGTACAAACAGTTTATGGTGAGTTGTACTCTGTTTTTAATTCTTTCTTCTCTTCCAAATGAATAATGAGTTTTAAAAATCTGTTTCAGCAATACAATCAACCTCTTAAGCAATGTTCCCGTCTCTTGTTTGGATGTTCTTATTAGTCCATCATCTCAAGAGGAAACAGATATAAAATACAATGGTATGAATATGGGAGCAATTCAAGTTTTACTGGATTTCATGGAGAAGAGAATAGACAAGGTATGGGCTGCAAAAATTCTTCACAAAAGGCACCTCTCTCATTAAGACAAAAGTGCAGATATATAAAGTTTCTTACAAACCTTTCAGACAGTATTTATTACAAATATGGATACCCTTGCTTCTAGATTGTGAAACACCTCAAAATTGAGAGCAAATTTCTGTGAATATCTGAAGCATACTTGCTTGTGTGTGTGTGAGGATGAACGTTTGGTGCTTTGTTTTTATCTATGTAAAGCTCATGTTTTGGCTGTCATATAGGATTTTATTGAAGGGTTCATAGGATTTGAAAAGGGTTCATAGGATTTAAAAATGTTTTGTTTGTATTTGGTTTTATTTTAGGGAAGCAGCTATAAAGAAGGTCTGACTCCAGTTCTCAGTTTATTAACTGGATGCTGCCGAACTCATAGGAATATCAGGAAGTTTATCAAAGCTCAGGTAGGTAAAATATTAATCAAAATTTGAATATGAAGCTAATGATAAACTTTCTGAGGCTTCTGCATCAGTGCAAGACACTGACACTTTAAAAGTATGAATGGTTTCATATTAAATTACCCACAAAGTTCTCTGCAGTATTTTTTTCTTTTAGATCTCTGACAACTGTCAGCTATAGAAATAATTTTTCAGTCTTGTAAATCAATAGATATTATGGCCTAAGTTCCACGATGCATTTTGTAGAGCTGTTAAATAAAAACATTAGGGGTATTGTAAAGCTGTGTTTATGTGGGTCACCATGGATCATGTAACACAGGGGCAAAGAACTCGGTGAGGTCTGTCCCCTTCTGTCCAGCATATCAAAAAAATTTCAGTGCAGTTAATAAAACTTTGCAAAGCTGCATGATAGCCAGTGAGGCTACAGGTGTTCTGATGAGTTCTGCTGGAGCTTTAGTTTGACCTCAGCAGGCAGGAGTTACTGGAGTTGAAACTTGTTTACCAGTGTGTATCAGCTGTTCTATCAGAGTAAAACTCTGTCCCTGAACAGAGAGGCACACGTCATCACTTAGTCTCTTAAAAGAGCTGTTTAATACAATGCAGCCTGTGGGTAGGTTTTTTTACAGGAAAAATATTTTTTTGCTATGGTTAAAGATATCTATGTCTTGGTGGTTGGGTGTGGTATTTCTGGTTGTTCTGCTGCTTTTCCTGAAGTCGGGTGGAGAAAAGTTAAAAGATGAGCAAGGGAGAGACAGCTGAAACTAGCTGAGAAATGTTCTTTTTCCTAAGCTGCAGTGATTTCCGGGTTGCATCTTAGATGCCACTCCCAGATCAAAGCTGCGCCTGAATTCGTAAATGGAGTTTATAAAGGAAAAGAGCATATTTTGCATGTATTTTCTACCTCTTTCATCTATACCAGAAAAGTGATTTGAGGAATTTAAGAAACTTGTTCTTGGTGTTATTGTTTTTGTTCACAACGGTTCTTTCCTAGGATACTCTTCTAATCTGTTCAGTTAAAAAAAAAAAAAAAAAAGGGCAGAGCCAAATGTTCAGAAGTTAGAAAATGAAGTTGTCTGCATGTTTTTATGACATCTCGGCATCTAGATGTCAGGATACAATTGCATGCTGTCTCTTACCACAGGACGACTGCCTCATATAGTGCACAGAATGGATGGATGCTGCTAACTGCATGGCCGGATGTTTGATATTTTGAATTATCCTCATTGTTAAGTGTTGGCCTTAGGCTTTATTTATTGTGTACTATTCAAATTCTGATCTGAAGACAGAATGATTAATTTCTTCATGGACTGTCCTATGGCACTCATCACTGTATTAGTATTAGAGTATTCTGAAAACGCTAATTCATTCTTACAACACTGTGAAATGGCAGTCATGGTACTATCCCCACTGGGGAAAGTAAGTAGGGACAAAGGAGAATATTTTTGCTAGTTGTTTGAATACTTAGTTTAAAAAAGACAGGGTCTGTTTTTTCAAAGTAGTCAATGCTGTAGCATTCATTTGTTTAAGTATGGGTTCTTAGTGAGTCCGATTTCAGTAGTAATTGTGCAGTAATTTTGCACAGAACAAAGGGTTTGCGATTTCTTGTGACGATTACTGACATATTTGGTTTCATTCCCTAGTAAAACACTGAAGATCCATAATTCTTCCAGGAGTGATCAGACCATTAAATATTTTGTATTACGGCCCAGATTTGTTTGCAGATCATATCATGTATCATATCCTGTGAATGTGAAAAAATTAATGTAGGTTTTGAGTCTGAAGGCATATGCACGTGGAGGCAGAAGTTAGGTTGCAAAACCAGCCATATTTCAGGCACCTCCTACCTTTCTTGAGGGTTGAAGTTAATATTAATGGCATTTAATGAGAAAATAGTGTGTTTGAGGAGATGTTAAATAGTGTTTTCTCCAAAATGTTTTTGAAACGCAGCTTCAGCTTTTAAAAGAGTGTTTTCTGGGAGAAGTACGGATTTCCTCTACCTGCATAGAGCCAATTTTTGCAATTCATGGTAGTAGAACTTGCAATTTGACTAATTTTCCTGCTTTTTCACTATAAGTTATTCATTGTTCTGTGTAAATTGCACATCATGCTGATATTCTAAGTTTCCTTAAGCTGGTATTTTTAGTGCTTTTGCCAGATATTTGAGCAAAACAGAAGAAACAAAGAACATGAGGTTACTGCCTGTTAGCCAACTATTTTGGGACACTCATTTGTGCTCTCAAGCTCCTAATAGTTGTCTTTTTGTTTTTTTTAAAGTCTACATTTGGGACTGAGTACTCTTCTGCCCAGGATGGCAGACCAGAAGGCCTGAGTATGTTAAGAAGCAAGAGTCATTACTAGTGCATGTAAGCATAGTTGGGTTGATTTTATTGCTTTTTTTGAGGAGCAGAGCTGACAATATTTTCATGTTCTGTTGACTGTGTGTGTTTCTGCAAGGATTGGATAGGTATTGCCATGCATTCAATGTTGCTTTTCCTTTTTTCTGTGCTGCTAGGTGTTGCCTCCACTCAGAGATGTATCAAATCGTCCAGAAGTTGGCACAACAGTGAGAAACAAGCTTGTGCGCCTCATGACACATGTTGACCTTGGAGTAAAGCAAATTGCAGCAGAATTTCTTTTTGTTCTTTGTAAAGAGAGAGGTAAAAACTTCTTTTTCTTCTCCCTTTTATATAAGGTCTTGCTGTAATTAGTATCTTTGCCTCTTGCTGTAACTCAATTCTTTTAACACTGCTGGTTTTTGTTTTGTAGCTGAATAGAGCTGAATAATTTTCTGTATCACTCTTTGCAGTTGACAGCTTGTTAAAATATACAGGCTATGGCAATGCCGCAGGATTGTTGGCAGCAAGGGGCCTGTTAGCAGGAGGAAGAGGAGATCATTGGTACTCAGACGATGAAGATACAGATACAGAAGAATACAAATCTGCGAAGCCAAAGTATAGTATTATTTTCAATTTTGCATATCCTGTTGCAATTTAGATGTTTTGACATAAATTTTTTTGTTTTACCATATCAAAGAGAAGACAGGTTTGGAATTACATGTGCTTATACTAACTACTGTCTCCTGTTGACTTCATGGGCTAATTATTGAGAAACCAGCCTCTAAGAGTGACCATCATGTAGTCATATGACTGCAAAAAAAAAAAATCACTGAAAATAATTTAACTTCAGTAAGGGAAACTATGTAAAAATAAAAACTTGTCAAAAAGAATTAAAGAACAATAATGAGAAATGTTTGTGGATCGTCTAGGAGCAGTTTCAAGATGCATATTAGAGGTTCAGAGTACATGTGTGTTCTAAATTTAAATGGATACTTAAAAGGCTGGAATTGTAAAATGAGAGTAAAAGAGGCTATCAGAGACCATACTGTAAAAGAGTAACAAAGCAGGCCAAAAAGGTTTTGAAGAACAGCTTGTTGCAGGCATTAAGAATAAAGAGAACCTTCTTCACAGGTTCATCAAAAGCTGGAAACCTGCGGTATGTGTGTGGTCATTAGGTGGTCAAGGTGTAAGTAAGCAGAGAAAGGGGGCAAGTCCGTAGCAAAAAAGCTGAAGAAATTATTTGCATCATTGTAACTATGAGGAAATTTGAGGGAGTTCTCAGATGGGACCCTTTCTTTACAGACTATGAGTCTGGATAACTATTTAAAATACAAATGTGAGAAGAGATTATTGACCAAATTGAGCACATTTTAGGAAAAAAAAATAGTAACAAACTTAGCCAGGATGGCTTTTGCCCCAGATTTTCTATAAACTTACAAGACGCTGACAAACTACTATTGTTTGTGGAGTATAACTGTAACAGAGAAAATAAAGGTGTTAAATGTGGCTTAACGTTTTAAGCAGGACTTTGTAAAAAAGGAACAAACCAGCAGGTCTAGTTGCAGTCAGTCAGATTGCCTGGTACTAAAATTTTCCTTAAGAATTGAGTAAGTCACATAGGTAAATATGGAATGAGCAAAATAACCTTTGTAGAAGTCACACCCCAGGAATACAATATATTTGTTTGAAGGATTCAATTATTATATAGAAGCTCTGTCTGTTGATTTTTATTAATTGTAATTGATTTGGTGTTAAAGGTTTCAGTTTGTCATGTTACATCTATGATTTGATGCCATTTTAAGTAGGTTCTTAAATTGTTGATAGTGGGCATCTGAAGCACGTTATTTTTCCGCTTTACTCTGTTTTCCTTGAATTGCACAGACATGATTAGGTGTATGACAGGGGGGCTGTGGCTAAATTAAGATTCTTATTAAGGAATGTGAATGAGAGACAGGACTAAATGTAGGAGAAGTTACAGGAGTTAAATTGATTCTGTGCTAAGAAAAGAACTCTAAAGCAGGAGGGTTCTTTTCTATTTCTGCATTTCAGGATATTTTTACTTGCTCTTTTGTCTCTGCTCTTCTTTCAAAAGCCTAACATTTGGTTATAGGCATATATGTAAAAATATGACATCTATTTAGTTATAAAAGATGACACTTAAATGAAACAAGGACATTTGTAAGTTGCTTTATACATCTGATTTTCTGTATTGCTGTTAAATGTTTGTGATTAAGCTGCTTGAAAAGGTAATTTGCCCTGAAAGTGTTATTTAAAACTACTTACCTGCTTTTGTTACTTAATATTTCTGTATCTCCATTCACTTGTTTTAACAGTGAAATAACAGGCAGTGTAAATTCTCAAAGTAACCTTAATTTGGTTTGACCAAAATTCATTATGGGAGGTGAATAGTAAACTAAAATTCAGTGGTTCTTCATGAATAAGAAAATGTAACTGGAACCTGTCTATATTTTTAAAATTAAGCCTGTACAGAATTATTTTCAAACATGTGTCTGTTGGTCTGTTTACCATTTATGTCATTATTACTAATGAGATTGTCATGATTGCCATCATTATTCCCCTGCTTTCAAACTGCTTCTGTATCAGTTATAACATAACAAGTACTAGTGGACTATGTGTTTCTGAGCAGCTAACAAGAAATTAATACAGTGAATCAACAAGAAGATATTATCACAATTCACTAGAGAAGGCTAGAAAACAGGTGTAAATATGAGGGTTGGCTATTTGTATTAAAAACTTTCTTGTGCAGTTCAGACAGTTTTAGCCTTGGAGGTTTCTGTTAGTGTGTTTCTCTTTCCTCCTATCAAGAAGATAGACAATTTACATATTTCTAATATTTTACATTTTAGAAATGTAAACTGTATTGTTTTTCCACCTTCAGCATTAACCTTATCACTGGTCACTTAGAAGAACCAATGCCCAATCCGATGGATGAAATGACAGAAGAACAAAAAGAATATGAAGCTATGAAGCTTGTCAACATGTTTGATAAACTTTCCAGGTATTGTATCATAGCTGTTTTTGGGGGAGGCAGCTCACATCCTGGCTCTTTACTAAGGTCTAGTGCTTCAAAATAGTGCTATAATCAACTTCCTTGCAGGATTAGGACCACTTTAACTGCAGAGAAAAATGTTTAGCACTTCAAAGAAAAGAGTGATATGTAACAGGACTTCAGAGGAAACCTCTTTTGGAGAGGATTGGACAGAATCAGGAAGATCTGGTCGTGAGGGGACCTGCCTCCTAAATGGGTAGGCTGATAACAATGAAAAGGATTTCTCCTTCTAAAGTACGGGACACAATCCAAGCCCAAGGCGAGTGTACTTAATTTCCCCAAGTCAATGAGCAGCATCTCATGGTAATTGCTTACATGTGCTGCTTATATGAAGAACAAATACAGTGTGAAAATAGTTGTAACTGGAAGCAATAAATTATATAATGGAGCAATTAAAATGGAATTTACAATTAAGGATTATTGTGGATTTATTAGAATAAGTGTGGAGTGGATTACAAATGAGCCTTTATAATTTGTTTTAAATGAGGTAATGCCATAAAAGAAAATGGTACTTAATGTGAGGTAAAGGTGTATGTTATTGATACAGAAAGTTTATTTTTATTTTATAACTTTCTGAGTACAAAACTGGAACAGGCCTGTGCCGTTAGCCATAGCTTTTTTCTCTTTGACTTAATATGCCTAGAATTTGCTGGTTTTTCTTCCCCCATACTTGTAGCCATGTTGGAGTAGTTGTTTTTAGTTTGTTTTCTGCATAAGCAGAACACTTAATGTAATGCTAATTTACCATTGAACTGAGGTGTAGGAATTTAAGTAAATATGTAAGTGGATCATTCTTCAAAGGTGGGAAAACTCAGCAGCTAGAAATGTGTTTGTGTTTTGTGAGAGTCTGTAGATATTTAAATAACAAGATCTGTTGAGAGAAATTCAGCAAACCAAGTATTTTTACATCTCTATTAAAGATTAGGAATACAGCAAAAGATGTGGGAGAATCTGGATTTTATATTACCTGGCAAAGACTGAATTATAAGCAGGAGTGAAAGCAGGAAAGGATCTCAGAACTGATCTGAGACCGTAAGTGAAGTAATTGGATACTTTTTCAAATTATTTTCATGGAAAGCAAGTGTAATATGTTGCAATCTTTTTAATAGAAGAAAATGCAACACACATGTAATCTTAATTGAACTACTATGTAAAATGGATTTATTGCTATGTAAGCTAGAGAATTAAGATGCTGAGCTTTAGGGGTACCACAATAAAATGACTAAATGGTCTAAAACTTTTTTTTAAAAGCAGATTGAGACCAGAGATAAACTAAGACTGAAGACAAGTCAGTTACTATTGCTATAGCAGTTACACAAAAAGTCCAAATGGCATTACTGTAGCATAAGAGCCTTTTCAGTTTGGAGGATTGGAGGCACCTGCTGTGTTGCCTGCTACAAACTGACAATCACTAAACAGCTGGTGCCCTGCATCACTACTTATCCTCTTGGCCGGTGGCATTACTTTCACCTTGGGCTTTCTGTGTCAGTTACATCCACCTGCAGTTTCTTCTATAGTACTTGGATGGCAAACTCTTCAGGGCTGGGACTCTCTTTGTTGTAAGGTTTTTGTTTGGTTTGTTTTTAGTATAGTGTTTACTGTGGGACAGTGTTGTTGATGTGACTCCTTTAGGTGCTGTGATAACATGAATAAAATCCCTTGACTGCTCTTCCCACCCTTTTTGTTTTACTGAAAATTGGGGACGGGAGGGAGGGGGCAGGGAATGCTGGTGGGAAGGAAAAAGAAAGTAAGACTTGGTTTTGGGAGGCTGTGGGATGTTTTTAATGAATGTAATTGAGTGCAGTTGTGGGTTTTGCAGATGTTAAATACAATGGGAAGCTGCCAGTCTTGTATACAAGAAGAAGGAGTTAGTAACATGCTGATAGTAGTGGGAGTCTCTCCATGTTTTTGGAATTTAACACTTTTGCCTCCAGCTGGAGCCCTTCAGTGCTGGCAGTTTTCAGAGACTTAAAGCTGCCAGTGGAATGCACTTTCTTCTTTGGTTTGCAACCTACAAATTTAAACTGGAGGTTGCCTTGATAGGAGTCTTCTGTTGAGTCTGGGTTTTGTATCTTGCTTTGAGGCAGACTGCTGGTGGCAGGTTTCCTATTTCTGCTGGTCTTGGTTGTTGTCACTGTGGGAGGGGACATATACCATGAACTGAGCAGCTTCAGTTTGGTCCAGTGCTTTGCTTATAAGAGGAGAGGAAGTTGGACAGGGAACCAACAGGTCCTTCGAATCTTGAATGAGTTTATGTAACTTCATCTGTTCAGCTTGAGCAAGAGCTTAGAGTGAACTTGCATGATGTACAGCAAAACTGGTTTGCTTAGTACACGTTGAGTTGTCCCAGTAATGGAAGCTAAGCTTTAAAGAGCCAGCATGCTTTTACTGGAGAAAGGTATGGGGAAAAAAAAAAAAAGTTGAAAAACTGGCAAACTTGCTTCCCTTCCTGACTGATGAGGATAATCAGGCCAGTCTGTCACTCGTATGTTCTAGATTTGGCTTTAACTGGCTCTGTATTTTTTTTTCAAAGTTACCTGATAATGGATTGAACTCGGGAAACAAATTTTCAAAATCGTACTGCTTCATTGAAAAGTTAGTCTTCATTAATCATGAAGTTTGGGTTGGAAGGGACCTTAAAGATCATCTAGTTCCACCCCCTCTGCCATGGGCAGGGACGCCTTCCACTAGCTAACTGTTGACCCTGTACCCTTTGTACAGGCTTATTGAAACTAGAAGTAATAATGTGACATTTTCCCCCTTGTTCTGTAAGATGCCAGTAGATTTTTGCTCTCCAGGTTTCTCTTTGTTTTCAGCATTGGCACTGAAGAATTGAAACTGCTTTGAAGTGATGTAAAACTGATCCATGCTTTTGGTCATTTCATTTTGGTCTTACTTCCAAAGCTTTTCTGTTCTGTTAGGTTGTTGGTGTTTGGGCCTGTTCATGGGGTAACTGACCATCAACAAGGCTAAATTAAAATTAATCACTCAGTTTTGTTTTATCAAAATATATGGAGGAAAGCTGAATATTGTTTGTGAACCCATTTCTCCTGCCCCAATATTTCAACATAGACTTGAATTCTACAAAAGCCTTTACAGAAATTAATATTTTTCTCAAATTTGTTTGGATGAGATTACTTTTTAAAATCATAATATATAAATTATAAGTGTAAATGAAGATGAAAAATCTTTATTACTGCAGCTCTTGGGAGATGTAGTTGTTACTTGGGTACTTTGCCAGATGCCTGAACTTGGACCTGAAGTAACTCAATGGGCTTTGTCTGCAGTAAGGGTCCATACTGTCTTGTGACTGTAAGTCAGTGTTCTCTGTATGTTATGCACATCTTTGAGCTTTGAAAAACTCCCCAGATCTGCAAAAATATTTAACTCAACCTTTCATTTTTGCAAAATATCAAGTTAGCCACTTTAAATCAGTGTTGTGTGATATTGTGTCTGTTCATATCATAGATTATTGGAAATATTCTGTGTTAATTAAAATATCTGGAAAAAATGCTAACATTTTTTCTATTATAAGTGGTAGGTAGAATTGTATATTGATTGACTAATTTAAAATGTCAGGATGCTTTTTCCAAGCCAACCTCGTATTAATAGCAAGAATGCTTTTGCTGATGAAATGGTCTCCAATTATCACAGCTTGGGTTTTGTTGTACATTGAACAGAAGTCAACAAAACAAGTATGTAAGAGAACCTGTCTAAGCAACCATACTCATTAAAAACACAAAATTAATCATAGGATGAATGAAGAAGGCAACGTTACGTGGTTTTTTCTTTTCCTCCCCTTTCTAATCATAGAACAAAATAATGTTACATGAAAGGATTGGAACTATTATGTAGTACTCAATTATAAGGAGGTGAATAGGTCCCTAACATGCCATTTTATCAAAGGACCAGACTGGTGTTTACATGATGGCTGTTTCATTACAGACATCATCATTAATTCCATGTGTCAATACTGCCCTGTAGTACATAGACCAGAGAGAAAAGAGTTACCCTTCAAAGCAGGGGAATGATTTTTGAGTCGTTATCAAGCTAAATGACAAGCAGGAAGCTAGACCTTATATAGGTGTATTTGAAGGGACTCTTGGGAGATCTGGAAGTGGAAGAAGAGAATGCATTTTACCAACTGTTTAATTATGGTGGTTTTCTAAGTACACTTGAATAGAATGCTTTGTTTGCATTAGAAAAATTAATGTTGCAAGAAGGTGTGTTTGAGTGTAAGGGAGGTCTCATAAGGACCTGTTCAAATATGCGCAAATATGCACATTGTGTACTGGTATAGATTTTTGTGGATACAGAAGTATTCCTAAGGGCTGAAGTGACCTCTCTTCTGCCCTTTAGATGGACCATAAACATCCAGTTTCTGGATAATGAACTGTCTTCTGAGGCTATATGTGCCAATTTCTGGTGCTTCTCTTGCCACCTTGTCTCTCAAACAGTAAGCACATCCTTAGCTAGCCTAAGTTGTCAAAGCTCAGTTGAGATCTCAAAGCAGGCAGTGCTAAACTGCCAAATTGCTGAAGCTGGCAGACCTGAGACTCTTCGTACCAGGTAAGGATCAGCTCTGTGGGCTCTTGTAGGGTACTTAGCTAAGTGATTCCTCTTGCAATCCTACCCAAAATTCTGTTATTTAGTGGATAGTTGTTCCAAACACCTGAAGCTAGCTTTGTAGGCAGCCCAGATCTCATCTGTCTTCCTCTGTATTTTTGCTCTTTGAAAAACAGGAGTAAGTTTGTGTAGTGTTCAGAGCTTGCAGTCAAGTCTTCACCGGTGAAAGGATGCTGTATTTTACACCATTTTAGGACTAGATTATGGTTAGGAAAAAAAACAGGCTGATCCCTGCTTCTCCTTCTACCTCTTCTTTTGGTGGCCTGGAATATTTCTGCCTTCATACAGTTCAGTTTTTTTGGGTAGCATTTGTCTGAGGAAGGATGTATGGTATTCAGCCTCCTAATACAGCAAACTTTTAACAACTATCATTCGTCCTGTTCAAGGAGTTGCAAAGCAGGAAGCTCATGCAGGAACAGAAAGGTAATGGATAAACTTCCTTGTTATTCTATGAAATGCAAGATCAGCCTAGCTCATGGTTAAAGCCTAGAGAGGAGGAAATTCCTTGGGACCAACTTCAAATGCAATACAGCACAGATCACAATGGTGCACTTTGAAATCATTACAGCAAGCTGAGAAACAGACTTTTGAGCATCACAAAAGAAGATACAAATGCACTTCAGTGACTCAGACTTCTACATTACATTGTCATGTAAAACTTGGTGAATTTATCCCCAAAAAAAGCCCCACAAAAACCATAGACCAAGACTTGTGCATATGGATGTGTCTTGTCTATTGCATCTGGTGTTAAGTGTCTCTGCAGATGGGTCACTGGAAGAGAAAAAGTTTCTGTCAAGTTCTGGAGTGTGTATAGCAGGATGTAAGAGTGAAGCATGAAAGGGAAGTTCCAAAGAAAAAGCTATTTCTTTATAATTGACAAATGATGAGATAGGACTTCTTGACAACATTTACAGATATAAGTATCCTTATGTGAGGAGAGGGAGGTCCCCACATAAGGGGACCTTGGGACCTTGTTTTTCCATGTTTCTCTTTCCTTTTTATTGAACTGTTTCTTTATCCGTTACTAGCTATTATAATTTATTTATTACCAATAATAAATTGTAAATGACTAGTAAGATTTTATGACTTCTGGCTGCATTGTTAAGTGTTGCAACCTAGGAGCATGTGTTACAGTTTTTAAAACAAAAACCTAAGAATCTCTCAGCTTAGAGGGCAAGAAAAGGTGATTTTGTGCTTTGTGGCTATGTTTTTACTTTTGGTGCTTAAAAAATACGAGTAAGGACTTACCCTTCAGGTTATTTCTCTCCAAAAATAAGTATAATAGATCACTACTGAGGCTTGAACTTGAGTAAGTGGCACTGAAGAATTGTTTCAAGACTGAATACAGATTTCAAAGGACACGTGTTTTGTGTTATGGTGTTTAAAGTTTAAAAGCGAAAAAGGCCTTAAATGTATAGGGGTTTTCCCTGTGAAGAAGCGTCTTACCTGTCAGAGGCAACTCCAAAGCACTTTGGCTTTGCCTTTGGGGGACCCCTATAGCTGGCAGGAAGGGTTCTGGTCCTGTTTGGACACTAGATGTGCAGTTCTCGCTTGTTGAGCCCTTTCAATCCAATTTCAAGTATTATTTTGATCTCTTCTGACACATCTCCAGCAGATACTTGAAAACTGAAGTGACACAAGAGTGCTCTCATTTGGGCAGAATCTGCATACTATAGATTGCATTGCCTGAAGGAAGAGGACTTGCTGTCAGTCCTCAAGTATGGCAAGCTTTCTCCAGTCCATTTAAAGAGAGATCTTGCTCCTACACACACAGGCAGAGCCTGGCCTGTGCTCTTTGAGTATGGGCATTACAAACCCCAATCCCTGGCCCCAAGCCTCCCACCCGGACCTGGTTAGCCAAACGTGGCAGTTTCTCCAGGTCCGGTTTCTCATGTTTTGAAATGCTGCAGGCAGTGGGATTTGTGAGCTTATCACCGTAGTACCCGATCGCCACATCTGTGCAAATAGCTGCATTTCTCCCGTTGGTCTCCGAGCAAAAAAGATTCTTGGAGAATTAATTTAACTGCTGCTTGACTGTACAGTATCTAGTGTACGCGTGCCACGTAATTCAGATGTTACCTTTCCTATGGCTGTGTTAAAGTTAGATTGCCAGCTGTGTACAAGCAATTTTTGTCACTTTTTTAAGCCAAGGTAGTAGTGCAGTCCAGGCAGAGCTAGTGAAATGCCTTTGCTTCCCCACTGAGTGATGGAGTTTTGTTGTCTGTGGCTCAGGAGGGTGGTATATGTGTGTTAAATCGGCGGTTTTACTGGGCTGCCTTTCAAGCAAGGGGTAAATTGACATCAAGCTTCTGCTCCTTTATTTAAGGTGACTCTTGAATATTTATTCACCTTTTTTTTTTCATCAGAAAATCAAAACGTTATCTTTGCCCTTACAGCTTTTGCCATAATCCACATATAAATGAGGTGATAAAAAGTAAGGATTAAATAAATCTTTGCTAATACTTTTTGATTGGCTTAATCAATAATTAATCATCTCTTAGATGAGGCTGTAGCTTGTGGAGTAGATATAATTGGATTAGCTGCTGAGAGGCCTTTGGAGCTTTGAAGAGATTAAAATGGCTGTCAATCCTGTAATTAAACTGCCACAAACAAAAGCAATAGTATTAGAATCAGTCAGCTTTTTTTAAATGAATCAACAAGTACTTACACACCCCTAGTAGTGCTGTAGGCAGAGTCTGTTCTCATTACTGAGTTATTTCCTTCAACAAGATAAATATGTATCAAATCATTGTTTTAATTGCCTGGGTGTATATTGGCCATAATAGCAGGTGAAATTTTAGGAAGAAATGGCTGTCAGAGAACTCTTAGAAGAAAAACTAGTTTGTGTATCTAAAACAGTGAACCTGCTCCTTGTCTTGAGCTTATTAAGCACTGACTTTTCATGGTGTCTTTAATTGGCTAAGTAGGTTCCGCCTACATGAATGAAGTCTTTATCTGTCCTGCTCTTCCCCTCCCACCTATTTTGGAAGGGTTTTTGTTCCTCTTTCTTCAAAACAGAGGGCTTCAGCAGAAATAACTTCCTTTTAAAGGCTCATTATATACTAAAGCATATACTGTATGTGACTGTATTATACACATGTGAATTGGTATGTGTGCATATGCTAATATATATTCTTTTAAAAAATCTCTTACAGAGATGAGCTTATAAAACCAATGGGAGTACGGCCGGATGGTACAATGGCTCCTTTGGAAGAAGCAGTCAGCCAGTACCATACCAACAAGCAAGACAGTTCAGATTCAGACTAAAGCATCACCTGCTTCACTCTCAATTCTCCTCTAATCCACACTGTTCCTTAGAGCCACAACATCTTTTATCTAGGCATTTTATCCTCACATTAGCCAGCATCACTTTAACTGTTCTATTATTGGCATATTTAAATGATGGGTCCTGTGGTGTAATGTCTGAGTTTTTATTATGTCCAATTAAAGAGCATATCAATTTATTAGTTTATTATCTTTATTAATTTAAAACTAGAAGTATTTCAAAGGGATAAAAAGTAAAAGCCTACCATGTAAAATAAAATAGAAACACTTTAATTTTCCAGAGTCCTCTTTTCTGAACTCTGTAGGTTTTCCCATTCTTGATATTTTATTTTTTTGTATTGTCTTTCCCTTTATATAATTGTAATTAAAGAAGTATGTTTGCTTAATGGCATTAGGAGCAGAGGGTGTTTAAACTTAGAAGTCTGACTGACCTCGTGAAGCTGCTTTAACTGGCATGCAACAGTGATTTCAAAACTACAGTTTTTATAATGTCATTGGATTTCTTACTGCTACACACTTCTGTGGTTAAGCTGCTGCTTAAGATTTTACCAATGTGTCAGTCACTGACTGCTGCTAAAATTACCTTTAAATTGGGAACAAGATGATGTATGTTGTATGTCCTCCCTCCCTCCCCTCCCCCGTTAAGACCACACGAATATACCTCCCCCTCCCGTCTTTGGTTAAGTAAAAACATCCCTATTCAAAACAGCATTCAAGTATGTACTCTTAAATGTTGCCGTGAATGGAAGTGGACTGAAGTGAAGTGCACGTGCAAGTGTTTTACTGAATTGGGCCTGCTTTTGGAGATTAACGGGTATGCCTCACTTGAAGGGAAGTCAAACTAATCAACAAAGAAATATTTCCTTTTAGGGAGAAGCTAAGAAGTGATGGGATAGAGAATGGGAAGGTGGGAAAGAGAAGAAGGTGTCACTTTGTACTCTTTAAAAACAATTAAAAGATTAAAGTTTTAGGCGTACTGCACGGCTGTTGTTGCCTCTTTTCATGCTTGGTTTCTTTCTCTGTGTTTCTCCCAGCATGAATTATGTAAAGAATAATCCATATTCTAGTCTGTAATTTTTTTTTTTTCTCAGAAGTATACACATGCTGTTCCTTGTGAAACTTTTCAAAGGTTGATTAAGGTTCTCCAGTTTGTTTCCTATGACTTGACACTGGGTTCCTTGAAGTAAGGAAGCTGGTGTTCAAAGAGCTGTAAAGGGAGGATTTGGTATGAAATCATGCTGTGGTTTCCCATGTTGAGGACTTTCCACAGATCTCCGTAGTCTTCCAAAAGGACTAAAAAGAATGCACTGCTGTCCTCTCAGCAGTAAATTTGTTTTTACAAAGGATACTGTCCAGCCATAGCAATGCCTTTTTTCTTTAAAAAATTAAAAAAAAAAAAAAAAAGGAAACTTAGGGACATTAATTCTCTACATTTCTGCAGGCAGGGACCTTTCTGAATGTTAAAATCATCGATGTTTCAGGGTATGACTTGACTTGGGCTACATTGTCTGCTATATCCACATGGAGCATCACAATTTGCACAGGGGGGGAAAGGAAGCCAGCTACTGTTCCACACAGCAGTAGCTAAAGCAAAACCCATCAATGTCTTGGTAATACTGTAATCATACCTATTATGTGTGAATCCAAAAGGGAGAGGGAGGAGTTGTCCAGGAGAAAAAATACACTTAGCTGCATCTAAGCTGGGCTTCAAAGGTGTAATTCTGGGTTTAGCATCATCCACTGATTACTCTGAGCCCAGCACAGGCAAGCATTAAGTGTACTGCAGGTGCAAAGAATTTATGAACCCTCCTGGAGAAGCAAAACCTAACTAGCTCTGGTAATGAGGAATTGAGTCCTGTCTCGGTGTCAGCTGAGGTTGTTTCTTGGGGCTGGAGAAGCCGTTATTTCAGTAATAGGCTTCTGCATGAGTTGCTATAGAGGGATGAGTGCAAATCATGAAAAATAGCAAAATCTCAATTTGTTGCTTTACAAGTTGTAGAATATGCTCCTACAATTAGCTGGCTAAAGAGATTAATAAAACAATAATGGCTCCAGGGACCTCGTTACAAATGGTATAGCATGAGGCTTTTGTGGTCTGGCTCCTGCCATTTGCAACAGGGCAACAATAGTCACAATAAACAGTTCTTCTGTTTAGTTTATCTTGGAAAATACATGCTTGTAGTAGGCTTTACAGACATGAGATGCTGCTTCAATTAAAAAGAAAGTAATTAAGACCAAGCATAGAATGTGGTTCTGCCAATCCTCTAGCTCAAAGAATGATTTTTATAATAGGATTGCATGTAGTGCAGGTTGACCTACATAAATTAATAACTTCCACTAGTGCAGTATCCCAAAGGATCTTGCCATAGTTTGTGGAAGGGGTGCTGCAAGATTTTTGGCTTATCTGTGAAATATAACATAGGTCCATCTTTAGCTACACCAGCTGGAAAATCTTGGGACAGAGTTCCTCCAACACAACGGTTCATCTGCTTCTTTGTGTGCTGTATGGTGTTTTCTCTTCAAAGTAACCATGCATGTGGTAAGATTTCTCTTGGATTGAGAGTCGGGAGAAAAGTAAAATGACTATAAAACACCTTGCTGGAATTCTTTGTTTACTGTGAAATTAGTCCCGAGTTTATTTTCAAAGCTGAACCTCCAAAATTGGAGGCTTGGGCAGCTGAAACGTATTTAAACCAGCAAACTGGTCAGCAAGCCTGACCAGTTTGAGGAATGATGTCTCTTTCCTCCCCAAAAGAGCACGGAGGTGCTGCATCTGCATCTGAAAAAGTGTCCAAAGTTCTTGTTCAGATGTGACCATGAGAATGTGCTGCAACCTGCAACACTTTCATACATGGCAGTCTGATGCCTGGAGAGCAATGAAAGGTTTGCTGCCCCTGCTAGCAGTAGCTCTGGTAATTTTTTATATGTTCGATTAATGCATGAGATTCCATATGGTATGAGCTATTCTGTATTATATGAAATAATGATATTTGATTATATAAATACATGCTTTCACTTTTCCTCCAAAACATTTGAGTATAGTTGACACAGAAAATACTGTAATTGGAAAAAGGAAGTCTCCTGAGTAAAATGTCAATAGATTTTCTGGTAGTGACTGTGAAGGTGTTAGCCAGCAGGTTTCAGAGAGTTGTACCTTTCATTCCCAAAAAGCCTTTCACAGTCAGCCCCAAATACATAAACTTGTCTTTCCACCTTTATTTTGGAATCCACAGTCTGAAGTAATTCAGTTCTCATTAAAGCTCATCAGTGATTTGGAAGCTTTGCTTTTCTTTGTTTCCCATTAGAGTTATGAAACAAAAGATGATGTCAAATTGCTGAAATTTATCAGAATACTTTGTTCTTTTGCAAAATAGCTCAGATGTATTTGTTTAAATGTTCATGAAAGCTTTCTGGCAGGTATTCTCAAATGCTAATTGAAACTTTATGTGCCCCAAAAGTGGTTTTCAGGAAAAAGGGACGTTTACAATCCATTAAAAACATGGTTGTGAGAAAATTACCAGAGCTGTAAAGAAATTTGCCAAAGAGGAGAACCACATTAACTTAAATGTTTTGAATACACAACATTGCTATATATTACATGTATCTATCCTGAAATAGATTTTTCACCCTATATCTGGACTTTTTCCAAGTACCTGAAAATCTGCAATGGCTTTTAAAAAAAAGAGAACAATTAGGCAATAGTTTTAATTAGGCAATATATTTCTCTTATAGTTCTTCAAGCAACAATTTTCCTCTGTCTAGGTGAAAAATGGGTTGTCAGATATGACTGTAAGGAAGAGAATATTACAATGAAGCTGTCATATTAGTCGGTTGCCAAGCATCTTAGTCCGAAAGAGGAAAGTAAACCCCGAAGTATATGAGGTCCCAAATCTCATGAAGGAGCATTCCACAACATTGTGCTTCACCTTATTACCACAGAACAGCTAATAAAATCCTGTGCTTTAATAAGGCTGGCTGTAAAAAGACTGTTCCACTGTTCAAACAGTTGAGAGCCAGACTTTGCTGGTCTGGTCTTTGATGAGTAGCAAGTTAAACAGCTTCCCAGGTCAGATTCTTTTCTGGCCAAGCATGGAAAAATTATGATTTAATGGTAGTACAAAGAGGTATCTCACTTTCAGGGGGAAAAAAACAAAACCAAACAAAACCAAAACAAAACAAAAAAAAACCTGAGAGCACAATTTAATCTGGCAAATGCAGACCTTTGTTGGCATTAACATCTTAGTTACTTGGATGGCTCTGGCTGTTACAAAAAGTGATGGGGAACCCATTTTCTTCATGCAAAAACTTTTGCTCATTGTGAAGTTGCTTCTCTCCAGAATCTGTGTGCTCGCTCTGGTGATGAAATGTTTAGACCAGGAACTATTGGGGGAAGTGATGTTCTTTTAGCTTTGCAGTGTATCCTCCAGCTGGGTGTGCCTGGGAATACAGAACTGTCTCTAGTGCGGGCAGCTCAGTGCTGGCTGAAGAGCAGGCAGAGGAGCCTGGAAAGGTCTGCTGTTGCTCCTTCCTGACCTCTGCTGCCAGCCAGCTGCCTGGGGCTGACCTGAGGGCAGCTCTGCCTGGCAGAGGTTGGAACTGGGAGGCCACACTGCCCCTCTCCTGCTGCCTGTGGGTAACCAGGGCAGGCACAGGCTGCAAGGCAGCCAGGTGGAGGGGGGAGATGCAGGTGGCTGCATGGTGTGGAAAATGGTGGTAATTGCCTACTTGCAGTAAAGCTGAGTGTTTTTCAGGGCTCCTCCTCTCACCTGGAGTACCACTGTCTGCAGGTGAGTCAGGTTAATCCTCTGCTTTTACCTGTGTTGTAGTTTTACCCTGGTTGGTAGCAAAACACGACTGCACCGCTCGTTCACCTTCACCCCTCCAGGGGATGGGGGAGAGAGTTAAAGGGGTGAAGGGAAAAGAGAGCCGTGGGTTGAGATAAGAACAATTTAACAGGTAAACTACAATAATATTGGAAATAATAATAATAATGATAATAATAGTAATATATACAAATATACAAATGAGTGATACACAGTGCTCCTGCTCACCACGTGAAGACCAAGGCTCAGCCCGTTCCTGGCTAACAATCCTGGAGAAGGGAGAGTCCTGAAACCACGATACCAGAATGGAGCTAAGAGCCTGAGTGTCTGAGAGGTCAAGGTGACCCTGAAAGAGGGGTG